GTTTCACCAATAGATAAATGATGATTAATCATGTGAATATATCTTATTTTGTATCTGTCTTATTCTGTCTATACTTTATTCTTAAATGCTTCTGAGTTCAGTGGTTAGGATGTGGGATCATTACTTGAAACGTCTGTATATTTATAAAAGGCTATTTTTTCTSCTGGTTAATATGCCTTCTACTTCTCCAGGCTGCATATTTCCAAAGTAATATCTGATTATATGGGAAGAAGYATTTATTCTCAGGAGAATACTTGTAATTTATTCAGCAAAAACTAAGGGAAAAAGCCTTTCTTTCCATATTCTTTGAACTAAGGGGGAAGAAAAACATAGCAATTACCATCCCCAGTTACATTTGTAATTAGAGTGATTGATCTTCAAGTAACTATGAAATGCTATGAGATCTGAGTATTGGATTTTTTTTTTGTCAGTATTAAAGGTGCAAAGTTACCTTTACCAGGTGCAAAGAAAGGAAAAAAGCTACTGCATTTTACAAATTTTGAGAACGTGCTTTCATCTGAGCAATTCTGTTTTTGAGTGGCATGGCCGTGTCTCCTTTGCAGTAGTAGTCACGTTAATGAACAAAAYGAGTTTGAAAATCAACTTCCCCATGGCTATAACTTAAATCTAGATAGAGAAGTTGCTCTTGGTTCACTCTYACTGCGTTTGCCATTTTTAGTGAAGTGTACTACAGAGTCAGCGTCCCTACTGACCAAAGACTGGTGTTCTTGTGTGTGTGACTTGCCCATTTTTGTAATAGTCTGAGGCCCGAAAGAGATGATAATGGTTAATACTTATAATTRACTGTTTTTTCCACTGCAACATTCACACAGTTCAGGCAACTGGGAAGAGCTTTTCCCGTGAAGCTGCTTGTGCCAGTGCATGTGCATCTGCAGCCCCTGCAGTGGGTGAAGTCCTGGTCCCGTTCACGTCAAGTCTTCTTGGGGCTCAAGTCRGTCCTCTTGGGACCTTGCACGTCAGGAGGAGGAGATGCACTGATATTGCATTTGCTTTGGTTCTCCTTAAATTGCTCAGATGTGCCCTCACTATTTCTGCACTTTTGAGAAGAGTAGCCAAACTCTGAAGAGATCACTTTCTTCTAAATGCTCATCCAGTGCGTAATAAATATGTTTAAAAAGTAGAGATTCTTGGTACTATAAATAAAACAATTGCCATCTGTGTTTCATGAGTGTAACTCCCCATGTGCCAGTAATAAGCATAATGGCTGCAAACCTTCAGCAGTTAGAAGAAAATAATCATTTAACCACCATCTGATAGATACTATCTTCAGAACTATATATTTCTCATCTTCGTAAATTAGGGCTTTGCACCATTTCCCTTCCTCACAACTCTCATGAGACTGTRTTTGAATTTATCTAGTAAACAGTGACTCCAGCAAAGTGTAATAATGGCACTTTCTGGTTTCTTCTGGTCTGGCATAGTGTGTTCTTAATCATATGACTTTGCATATGATAATGTTATCATTGACTTTTTAAACTTCATACAGCAGATTTACTTTTGGGCCTTGCTTTAAAAATAGAGGGAACAAATACAAAACAAAACGTAGGAGGTTTTTATTGCAAAATGAAATAACAGCAAAGGGACTTGCTGGAAGGGTCCTGGCTTTTTGTTCCTGTGACTACTCTAAAGTACAGATCACTTTCCAGGGATCAGGTACGCCTAAACCTAGTGAGCAAGGAATATAAAATGATCAAGCTTAAACTCCTGCTACTCCCCCTCTCCTACCTCAGAAGAGCACCGTGGTGCTTTGGTTGCTTCCCCACTAAGCACCCCAAGGCCTCGCACTTACCTCAGCGCCCTGGCAGCCGTGTCGGTCCCGCGTTGGGTGTGGGTGCTCTCGGGGTGAGGGTGGCACGGGCTGAGGAGCCAGCGCCCGCCGTGGCACCGGAACCCACCCGGCCTCCTTCCCGGCCTGGGATCCACGGCCGAGTGCTCTCCTTGGGGCTGCACCGGGGCAAAGCTCTGCCCGGGAAGCTGCTTGCTGGGAACCAGCAAGGCTGTTGCTCCCTGCTCTCCTCTCTCAGCTCAAGGTTGCTTTGGCTTAYTGCTCTCGCCTCCCGCGGCGTGTTYRGGGGAGAGAAAGGCAATAAGGTTYGTCTCCTGCAGGGGCAAGCGGGGAAAATGAGCTAAGAAAAATGCCCTGGTGGAAATGGGTCTCACCCTATCGCCCAGCATACTCAGAATTGCAAGGCTCTGAGATAATCTAAGTCCACATTTGCTGAGTTTAGCCAGAAATACAGGTATCAGTAACTTTTGCTTTAGAATGCTGAAAATGAGATACCGATCTGAATGTTACAACTCACCTTCCTGCAGGGTTTATATAAATAGTCCTAAAGACAAGTAAAAGCCCAGCACACCATATACAATATTTCATACAGTGATCTGTTCAACAAGTTTTATCCTCTAATTTTTTGTGTGTATTTGTTTTAGCCTGGCATGCAGTGAGGAGAGGCTCAGAAGTGCTTTGCTGTTGCCTACTTGTTTGAGTGGAATGATCTGGTACTGAGATCTGTTTCCACTTGAAATTTTTGAAAGATCACGTGCAAATAYTATTTCATATCTCCTCCTGCGTGACTCCAGCGATATGCAATTAGGAGCAATAATCTTTTTCTGCAGTATGTTTAAACCTTTATTCATAGCCTGGCGTATAATACCCTTGTATGCAATGCACTTTGAGGGTGTAACGTTTGCCTATCAAAAATTTAACTTAAAATTGGTGTTTTTGAATGAGCTGTCTCAATACCTGTTCTCCCTTTGTCCCTGCAGAGTGAAAAATGGGAGGAAATGGTCCCAGGGAACCGGGAGTGAAGCAGTGATGGGGACAGAAAGGGTGACAGTAACAACGTGCACCCAGTGCAGATGCAAGATGGGCTATAGAGCCGTGTGTGCAGTGATAGCAGGTGAAAGAGAAGGGAAATAGAAGTCATAGAAGACCTGATAATCATCACCTTAGCTCAGTGACTTTAAAAGAGTGATAAAGCTAATTTCCCACACAGATTTACTGACTGTGCTAATTGGCAGCTGATGGGCAGCCMGGCAAATGCTGCCTGTCATTCAGATGAATACAAGAAGCCAAGTCCAGTGGAAGGATACTTGGCATTGGACAGTGCCCACCTGCCAGGTTCGTGATTCACCACGATAARGAGCGGAGACAGGACGTCCTCTTACTTGTTTTGTACAGGTTATTTGTGCAGCACGAGGTGCTGCTCGGCCAGAGGGAAGAGGACAGAGTCTGAGCCTGGCTGTTTGGTGTCCTTTGGACTCCAGGCTTCTCCTACGGGAAATTTCCAGCCACGTGTACTGCCCAGCTCAGCCCTCGGGCTGTCTCGGGAAGGGCTGGCTTCCCACCCATAGGGAAGTCTGGCTGAGAGTAAAAACCCTTCTTCCCCCAAAGCGAAAACAGCCAAGTGTGTTTGAATAGATACAAAATATTACAAAATGGCAAGACCTTAAAAGAACAAATGCTGGAAATTTAACTAGAATTTGGCACAAAAGAAGTTGTTTATGAAATGGTTTTATTTTCAGGGGTCCTCTTTTATAATTTCAGCTTTTCACTCTACTTTCTCAATAGCCTTTTGTCACAGCAAAATTACCAGGAATTCTGTGATTATGGTGATTACTGTGTGAGAGCATTGTGGCATTTATGGAGACGATCAGGTGAGCCTGTACAGGATGGAGACTCCTTAGTTGGCAGGTCAGGGTAGCTATTAGACCTCAGCYGCTTAGTCTACATGGATGATTTTCTTTATCATTGCAGCAGAAAGTGCTCTGTGGACATAAAAACGCACCACAGAAGCATTCTTGCAAGATCACAACTTGTCTCCTTGTTACTTGAATTTCAGCTCGTATTTACACAAGCTAAAACACTTTCTTATCCCTAAAAGTTCCTTGTACTTCTGTAGATCAACATTGCTCATCTTTTTCTTCAGGTTCTATTTGGGTTTCTAGTAAAATGATACTGGGGAAAAAAACGACACTTCCTCATTTGTTTGGTTTCAGTTTCCACTGACTCGGGTGTTTTAAGTCAGTGGGATATCAGGTTTATTGTTTGATTTCTGATAACCAGGTTTCTTCCTGAATGCCCATTGCCTTTCATTCAGCCGGCCATCCATCTCTTCTGTGTAAATGTGGGATGAACTTCTGTTAACATCTAGTTATTATGCTTTAATGCAGCCTGAAGATATATATATGACATAAAAATGATATTATTATGCTATTTATAAGCATTATTATTATTATTAAAGTAATATATATTGCATGTATTATAGTAATAAAGCAGTATCTAGGAACATTAATCTTTCTTATACAGTTTCAGTTATAAATTCTTCTTCTAAGTAGTTAGTTGACAGAACCAAGGAAATTATCTCAGTCCCTGTTCAGTATTAGTGATTTCTTTTTCTGGAGATTTCTTYTTCCAGTTTTGGGGAACTTGCAGTAACTTCCCAGTGCTTGTTGATTGTAACTCATTTCATAGGACCAACCGAAACCACTTAAGTACACAAAGGATCTGCTTATGTTTTGGTAGCTAAGCTACACTGGGAAAAAGCTGATAGAGAAGGGGAAAAAAGTAAGGTTGCCCTGATTTGAGCTATAATTAAGGTCAGAATCAAGTACTTCCTTGATAAATGTAGTTGTATATGCATTTATATGCACATATGTGTATATGCATCCTTGTTTCTCTGAAGTTTTTAAACAGTAATATTGTAGTTTGCAAAATCAAAATGAACGATCCAAAAGAGATGTCAGCACCTGATGTGGACAGGTGCCTGTTTCTGTACAGATTGTGTGGATAGCAACAAAAATAATAGCATGAAAAACAGTGTAAAAGAGTGTTCTAGTTTTAACTGTGATTATCCTCGTTACCGTTTTCAGATTCTATGGAAAACAGCTGGYGAATGGCTAAAGACAATTACCAATTTTCATATAGTTGATTTTATTGAAATCCTCTGTAACTAAAACATAGCTTATGATTTCCCTAGCTACAGTATTTCTGGAGTTTTGGAAAAGACGGAGAGCAGTATTAACCTATGACTGGGAYCTGATAGACTGGGAAGATGAAGAGGTAAGACAAAACAGTTACATTTGGATTATATTTGCTATTTGCGTTATATTCAGGTTTCTAAATCCAGTTTCCAAATATGCAGGTGTGCCTGAGAAGGGAGAAAGCTTGCACTCTGCTGCCTTATCTGTTTCTGCTTTTTGAGGGGCTCTTTCCCACTTTTGGCAGCTATTTCCAAGGATTTCACAGGAGCAAGTTATTTGCTTATTGGAGTTGGAGGCCTTTGAGAAAGACTTTTTGTCAATATGAATTTATTAATGTTATATCGTATGTACGTCTGGTTGTCCGTGAGGTAATTGCAACCTAAATGGAATCTCCCATGTCATTCCAGGAAGAACTGCGCCCCCAGTTTGAAGCTAAATATTCCCAAGTGGAAAGAGTGAATCCGATCACAGGAAAACCTGAACCTTTCCAGCCTTTCCCTGATAAGCTCAGTCGACTGATGGTGTCTGTCTCAGGAATATTCTTCATGGTACTGTGCAACAATAGTGGAATTATAAAGGACATTAATGTCATCCTGATATAAATATTAATGTAAATAACGAGTGCATTCCCTAAGGAATTCTCTGGAGGAATCTACTGTTGATTCAATGGAAAATAATTCAGACACTTGAGTTTGTTCTGATTTCTCTAATCCTTTAACACTTCTCTCCAGATTTCCCTGGTACTCACTGCAGTGTTTGCAGTTGTGGTGTATCGTCTGGTAGCTATGGAGCAGTTTGCATCATTCAAGTGGTATTTCATCAAAAAGTACTGGCAGTTTGCAACGTCTGGCACYGGAGTCTGTATCAATTTTATGATCATCATGTCACTCAACGTGGTAAGTTTTTGGTTTTGAACAAGCACATGAAACTGATTGAACGTAACTTGTTTTTAACAATAAATATTCAAGAAAATATTTTCAGAACTGGCAATTACCTCGGGCTAAACTGTCATTTAAAATAAAGACTGGAGATAATTAATAAATAAACAGATAAAGGAGTTTTCTGTAGAAGTCTGATAGCCTCTTCAGTTTACGCTTTCATGCAGAGGAAAGATTTATGGTAATGACTTTCACCAAGTTCACATAGATTTGTTTCTAAGGGTAGAGGAGAGGCATCAAGCTGCTGTTTGAGCACTTCTCGTGATTTATTCGATCTTGATTTATATTTATATATGTAGACATAATGTGTGTGGGTGCACATGCATCCATTTTTATGGATAAAGAGAAAGAAGACAAAAGTTAGTTTAATGAAAATTTCACTGGAAAGTATATATCCAGAGCTAAGGCATTTCCCTTCTCTGTCCAGCTAACATGATGCTCTAGGACAACAAAAGACTTTTAATTTTAGTTTTCCTTCTGCATTTGACATCCCAACAGACATTATTTGCTATCCTTACACTATCTTTTTTTTTTCTCTTTTAGGTATATGAAAAGGTTGCCTACCTCCTGACGGATTTAGGTATGTAGGTCTTTGCTATTCGTCACTTGTGACATGTACTTTCATATTTCTGTACCACAGGGTTTTGAAAGCTTCAGATATGCATAACAAGATACTGGCATTGCTCTAATCAAGTGAGAAATATCAAAGAAAAAGAGTGCAATAGCTGAACTAAGGGAACAATGCAAAAGAAAGGAAATCATTGTAATACTTCAACACCATTGAGCATGTTTAATAGTATCAGCTGAAAAAGAGACAGCTTATGATAACAAAGTAACAGTATATTCTTCTTAAAATACTAATAACAAATTTCTGATTCTTCCTAATTGCTTTGTTAATTTTTATTTTTTTTTAATTAGCACTTTCCTACGGAAAGAATGTATTAAAGGAAAACTACCTCTTCAAATACAAGAATGCTAAGTCATAAATTATTAAAGTAGCTGTAATTTAAATATTTATAATAAAGCTTCTCGTTGTGATTCAGCCATAGAGGTAAAGCTTTCAAAAAACAAGAAAGTAAAAACAGTATTTAACATCTACTCTGTGAATTCCTTTCATCACATCCTCTTAGACATTTTCTTTTAGCCCAAGTCAAAAAATGCAGTTGATTTTTGTCACAGCTTAAAAGCAAGCTCATTTTTAAAAAAATTAACAGCTCCCTCTTCTGGTTAAAGGATTGAAGAGCATACATTAAAAAAAAATTACAGATGTGTTTCAGATAACAGGTAGATAGACTGATTAGAAAGATGCAGAGTGACTAATCAACTTATTCAGGTTATTAAAACATAATAGAAATTTGAATAACAGCTTAAATTATTGTAACATATTTTTTAACAGACCACTTTTTATCCCTGCTTAACTAAATCTTTTTTGGTGTATTGTCTTAGACGGGGGAATAAGAAAGAAAATAATTATTCCTTTACATACCTGAGCTGTTTTTTCCAACAGAACATAAAAAATAGCCTCTTGACTTGAGCATAATGGAACTTCAGTTGTTTGAGCTATGTGGAGCTTCACTCCACTTGCTAACATATTGCTCTYCAGGCAGCAGGATGTCCTGTTAAATTCTGAGGAATAGCAATGTTTACACGGGGAGCTCGTATACTGTCAAYTCATCTCCTAGTTTACTTTAAAGCAGACTTTACCTTTATAGCAAAGCAATAAATGGTATCTATTTTAATTCTAAAACTGGCTCATACATATGCTTTGAAACCTTGATTGATGTGCTGTATTCCAAATGTATTCATCAACAAAAGCTATTGGAATTTTTTGACCGAAAGTTGCTAATACTAACAGTTTTCACTCCTAATTAAGACTAATCCCATCCTAAAAGCTGTAAGGAAAAATGCCCAAGGATGTGAAGACTGACATGCAATATTTGTAGTTCCAATGCACATTTCTACATTTACATACAAAAACTAAAAAAATAGAAGAAAAGAAGGTCTCCATYGTTTGTGCATTGCCTTATACGTTACCTGACACTTCACAGGCTTTGTCACATATGAAGTTTGTGGGGGAAAAGAAATCAATATGTCTCTAGACATGAAATTAAAAATTTGCACTGAATCTAGATTTTTCAAAAGGAAAACAGGAATTTCCCTTCCYTCCAAGTCCTGGGGCATTCTGTAACTTGGGGATTGTCTCTTGTGACCTGCAGACCGAGGGCTTTGAGGAAAAAAAATAATAATTGCAACCCAGTGGGTTTCTTGACTTCAATCCCTCGCTTGTTTTGTTAGTGCTAATTGATCTATGAGCAGAGCTTGATGTAAATTGAGTTCATTTCTGTGTGTGTGATCCATGCTGTCTTATTCCACAGAGCACCCTCGAACGGAATCCGAGTGGGAAAACAGCTTTGCCTTGAAAATGTTCCTCTTCCAGTTTGTCAACTTGAACAGTTCTATCTTTTATATTGCTTTTTTCCTTGGCAGGTAGGTAATAGTTTGCTAGCTGCTRTTAAAAAAAAACTTACATAGAACCCATAATTGTAGAGGTTTGGAGAAAATAAGTTGAAAGTATGAAAATTTATGAATAGATGAAAATATGTTGAATTTCTGAAATGTAAGATTTAGATGTGACAGTTTCTGCAGATGATTAACAGCACAATTACTGTTTTCAGTTCTCTGTGAAGGTGGAATTCTTGAAATCTTCTGTTTTTTTGAAAAGCTAGACAGTAAAAATTTGCTTTTTATGATGGTTTCTACACTTGATTTAGATACTAAAAGAAAAAACATTTGTGAGAATTCAGAACCTTTGGAAATAAATCCTCTTCCGAACATGCATCTATATTTACCCTTAAAGTAGAGAGCTTCATTCATTTCTCTCAGTTAATCCCATTTGGGAGGATTTCCTAGGACCCATTTCTGTAACTAATAATATGTGCTTGTTTTGTCCAGCAACGTATTTGCCGTAGAGTCACTAAACTTTTTGTTGCATCTTGTATCTAATGACACGAAGACAGGGTGCTGCACCTTTTTTTGCATCCTCATGTGAAATTTTTACTGAGATGATTAATTATTTTTATTCAGTTCATTTCACAGACTCATGTCACAAGAATCTGTTTCTGTTAGATCTATAGGAAGGGCTTCTTTGTGATGAGTTTGGAGCTGATTTTATGCTTTTACATCAGGATGCAACCCAATACGAACTTCAGCTGATCTCTGTGCTGTGGGAGATACAATTGCAAGGGTTTGACTTCTTTGGAGCAGATTAGACAGATATCTAAAATCTCTGAAGCTCAAATTTTGATTTTGGACATAATAAAAATTCAGGATCAGTCACAGAATGATGGTCTCTTTACTGGCTGGCATTTCAAAACAACTGTGTCCTACAGATAGATTTAAACCTCTGGGATTTAATCTGTTTGTGCTTCATGAGTTCTCTCAGTAGATGTTGCAAAATAGCTCTGCAGATGAGGGTGCTCCTGGAATGTCCACTRAGAAACAGCAATCTTGTTTTTCAGATTTGCAGGCCGCCCAGGGAAGTACAACAAGCTTTTTAACAGATGGAGGCTGGAAGAGGTAAACAATCCCGTTTTGTGTTTCTGGTAGGAAACTGTGGGATGGCTGAAAGACATGAATTAAGTCCAGTTTGAAAGATTTATCATTCCATCTGAGTGYGGAGAAGAATAAACTTTTATTTATAGCAAAAGCTGAGAAGCTGGAGATATGTTTTTCCTCCTGCCTTCTCAGCTGTGCTGAGTGACTCTCCATGAGGCACTTGTTTCCTTCTGCCTGGCTGTCTGTGACAAACAAACTGTGATATTCCCTCGCCTCACTGGCTGCATTTGAGTCCCAAACTGATGGTATTTCCAGGTTATGTGGCACTTCTGGATGCAAGACATGCATGTAGTGCCATCAGTTGTCCATGGCAGCTTCTTGAGTTGGTACTATTGTTAAAATACCAATTTAAATAAAAATAGAATTTCAGCCTGTAAATTAAGACCTGCACTTCTGATATTAATAGCTCCAGTCTCAGTAGAACCACAGAGAAAAATACCACAACGTTAGAGTCTCTTGGTATAAAAAAGGTTCTGTGATTAGTGTAGCTAGTGAATGTGCCAGTATATATTGCTTACTTTATTGTACATTGTTTTGGAAATTTGTACGGCTGAGATACTGGTAGCAGAGCTTCCACTGTTTGCACCTAGGATATTACAGATAAAATATTACCCCAGTCTTTTGAAATGAATGCTTATCCATTTGTCTAAGAGAAGCACGCTTTATCCTTTATCATAGACCTTTCACATATCTCTATCCTTACACCAGATAATACTATTCCTTTGTTCAGGAAAAGAAATGCCTAAAGACTGTTCCGTTATAGTTTGTGTTGGTATTTCTGCTGTTAATTTTCTCTTAGGATTCAGGTACCTAAGAAGAGTGTTTTTTTTATGAGCCGTGCCTGAGTATTTTCCATTCATTCTATGAACAAATAAAAATAAAAGGAATTTTCTGATTTTAGCAATCAATCTTTTTCCATTTGTTTCAGTGCCATCCGAGCGGCTGCTTGATAGATCTGTGTTTGCAGATGGGAGTTATTATGGTTTTGAAACAAATGTGGAACAACTTCATGGAACTGGGCTATCCGTAAGTTTGGTTGTCAATGTTTGTTTTGCAAAGCAGTGATCACCTGGCACTGTGATTCAGTGACAAGGAAATATATATATATATATATATATGTATGTATGTATGTATATGTATATGTATATATTTTATATATATGTGTGTGTGTGTCTGTGTGTATGCGTATTTTTTTTTTTAATGGAGGGTAGAATGTGGTCTTTAAATTAATTGTCTCAACTGATGAAGACTTAGTGTGTAGCTACAATACCCAGGTGGTGAAATCCATGTTCATAAGCACTTAAAATGGGATTCTTTAGCAAGTTCAGGTTTGTGTGACTTGCGCTGTCTCTCAGAACTTAATGCTCAAGRTATTAATGCTGCAGGTGTAGTTTTAATCTCCCTTAAGCAGATGGGGGGAGACTTTGTTACTAGTGTTTACCTAAGTTCAGTATTTGCTCTGAGGTCTAAAAATGTGATTGCGAAATACATGACTAGGTCTACACTCTTCCTCCACGTACTGGGAGAGAAATAGAGTATAAATAGTCCAGTGTTAGAAGAGTTTCTCTTTCAAAAACACCATATTTGGAGAAGATTTCTTCTTTTTCCATCTTATCTTCACATACAATGATACTATATATTTACTCTTAAGGGAAGCAAGAGTGGCTGTGCAGAAATAAATCTATGCACGATGTATTAGCCATTTACTTTAGTTATTATGATTTAGTATAATATATTTATTTTACACACACACACACACACACACACACACATACACATTAAATACTCAAAATCATAATGCCAAGACCAGAGCTTCTGGAACCTCTTCATAAAATGTTGTTTGCTACAATACTGTAAATATTGTATACAACAGTACTAGCAAATATGCTTGCTGAGCAAGTGCAGTCAATAATGGTGTGTTTATCTGACACAGGTTACTACAGAACTGGTGGTCAAGACGCAAAATGAAGAAAGGAGGGCAATTAATGGAACATAAGATTTCTCTACCTCAGTGGGAAAAAGATTGGAATCTGCAGCCTATGAATCTCCATGGCTTAATGGATGAATATTTAGAGATGGGTGAGCAAATTTAGAGAGAGATGTGCTTTCTTAAAAAAAAAAAAAAAAGAAAAAAAAAGAGAATGGACTAAAGTTTTACTTGGATCTTTTGTATATCCCATTTCTAACCATGGAACTTTCTTTTTTCTCTAGTTTTACAGTTTGGCTTTACCACCATCTTTGTTGCTGCCTTCCCCCTGGCACCTCTCCTGGCATTGCTAAACAACATCATAGAAATAAGGTTAGATGCATACAAATTTGTCACCCAGTGGCGGAGACCTATGCCGGCAAGAGCAACAGATATAGGTGAGAGAACCTAATGACTGTCACAGGCAGGTACCACCTCCGTGTGTTTTCTTCTTAAAACTTAACCCAGCTTAACCCTAGAAATATTTCATCTGTCAAGAATGTAATTGATAGGTAATATTATAGATGTTAGTAATGACTATCTAAGAGGATTTCTTTTCAAAATTCCTTTACATTTCTAGTGAGGAAACATAATAGTATTTTGAAAATAGGCCATTCATTAGATCCCGAAGTGTTATTTTAGACTTTTTTTTAGGGTTCGGATTTGCTACACTCAAATGCTATCAGTCAGTCAGCAGAATTTCAAAATTGAGATTCCATCATGTGTGAGGATTAAATTCACTTTTGGTTTTAAATTGAACTAAATAAAAATACTTCTTTTATTTGACCATATGTTTGTATTTGGCCTTTCTAACCAAAGATTTTGATTGTGCATTTACTGCTTAGCCATTTCTTCTTAACAAGGAAAAGTTCCTAGAAAGCTCCAATTCACATGGAGCGTGTGGTGGCAGGAATGTTGAGACATTGCTTAATCCCAGTCTGACTTTTTGGCTCTCTAATTCTTTTGCAATAAGCAAGGAGAACTCTAAAGAGAATAAACTTGGGGACTTTTTTTTGTCGTTTGTCTTGTTCTTAGGTATCTGGTACGGGATTCTGGAAGGAATTGGAGTTCTGGCTGTCATCACCAATGCCTTTGTTATTGCCATTACTTCGGATTACATTCCGCGCTTCGTCTATGCATACAAATACGGCCCCTGCACGGATCAGGGATACAGACAAGAAAAGTAATGAAGATACTGTTTTGTAACGTATACATTCATATTTCAGTGGAAATGTGTTTTGCTAACATCTTTCACGGGCAGTATTTTATCTTTTTCATCCATGCAAAACTTCACCAAAGTTAAGTGCAAGCAACCCAACCATGAAAATCATGACTACTAAATGAATACATATATATATGCAATATGAATCAGCAACTTTCAAGCTCTTCCTACATGAACTTTCCTTCCTTTTCTGCAAGAGCTCTGGTCTTTATTCTGCCCTCATACTCCCACATGCATACATATTCTCCCGAACTCTCTTGTATCCTAAAACTTGCCTTTCCAGGGGAATTTAGTCAAATTATGGGACACATTTTCAGGAGGACAGGATGGTTTTGTATCTGTTATTTGCAAGGAATAGATAAAAATTTAACTACTGTAGTCATAATTCATTTGTATGATTTCTTTCATTCATATCACTATCTTGCTGCCTGTAACACATCTTTTTGGTTTATAGTGTTGGCGAAAATTCTCCTTTCATTCAACTCATAAAACCTGTCATTTTTTTCACATATGCTGCATGATTGATGGCAGATTCTGCAAGGATGTTAAATTGTTCAGTCTTTCTGCATCTCTAGCCATTATTCTAAATTAAAATTTCCAAGTTACAGAAGTTGCCAGGAAAGATCTCTGCAAATAGCAGGAAACTGTGTTTTATAGCTGCTGATAGATAAAAAGCAAAAGATGAGAAGTTCTCAAATGAAAGTAGCATGTATCCTTGAAATGCATTTTATTTCTTTCAGATTAAACTTCGCTTCTCTGTCTAAAATTTTAGAATGGCTTTCAGCCCTAATAAGTAAAGAAGATAGTAATGCCTGCTGCTATGYAATAACAGAATAGGTTTGCCTGCAGAATCTGTGTTACGTGATCACCTTATGGAGAAAATCTTGATCCTGTGTCTTTTCCCTTTAGATGCCTAAAAGGATATGTCAACAGCAGCTTATCAGTGTTTGATCTGAGTGAGCTTGGGATGGGCTACTCTGGATATTGCCGGTATGTTTGGACACTCCTATTTCGTCTAAAGTGGACATTAAATTGGAAGTCTCCACGACAGAATTACTCCCAGAGTAGTTTTATTTCTTCCTGTAAAAGCATTGGGGTATAAGTTTGTTCAAAATGGAAGTTGCAGATGGGAAGGTTGTATGCTTGGCTGCAGTACTAAGGTATTTGAAACCTGTGTTTCTGTGTTTTTATTGGCCTCTTCTAAACCTTATATTTCAGGCCTCTATAAACTTACTTGTTTGAAAGTTTCCTTAGCTGTAAAATGAGGGTAAAATTTCATTTTTTTTTAACCGTCCTATGAACTCTTAAAACTAAAAGAATGTCTCKTACCATTTTGTTCTGGAGTGAACTCAACACAGGATCCCAGGCAGCTGAATTGCTCCTGAAGTATGCTTGCTTTGCCTTTCCTTTTTTAGCCAGCACAAGGAGAGGCTAGTGAGTTCTTTACAATGTCCAGTATTTTGAAGAGGTTGCTTTACTGGGATTTTTCCTTTCTTTTCCAGGTACAGGGATTACAGAGCACCGCCGTGGAGTTCGACTCCATATGAATTCACTTTGCAGTTCTGGCATGTCCTGGCGGCACGGCTGGCTTTCATTATCGTATTCGAGGTCAGTCAGAGAAGGGAAAAAATGTCTTATTCCCATTTAAAATCCAAGTTGATGGTTTCGCAGTGGGCCCATAAATGAGGGAGTATCAGTGTCATTAGGTGCTTGCTCGTGAAACTCGAGAGAGAAAATAAAACATTTCATTCTCCCCACTCCACTGCTTCAAGCTGCATTGAAAGAGTATGCAGAGTTTTTTCAAATCCCTCCAAAGTCTTGTTTTCTCTACAGTCTTCTAACAAGACAGTGTGGTTCCCCACAAAATCTTCTACGTTTTGTTGAAGAAGAAAAAATAAGACTTAAGACTACAGTAAGCAGAGCTATTACAACTTAAAACATGGACTACTTGTTCTCCAGGAATGTGTTTTGCTTTTAGTTATGAAGACTCTTTCTACAGAATATTCGCTATTGTTTTTGAACTGATTTATCCTGCAATCACATCTTTATTTAGGTTACAAGATGTACATAGATTTACTTAAATACGCTTAGATTCACTTTTAGTAGACTTTGACATTTTCCCTTTTTGTTATACAGTGGTAAATTGCTCGTGTGTATGTGTATTTGTGGGTCTTTATACAAACACACAGATCGCTTTTCAGCACTAAATAAAATCTTAGCTCCAGTTTTGCCACTGACTTTTAGGCCTGAAAGTTTAGTCCTAGAAATTAATATTTAACYGTCCTAGAAGTAATTATTTTTGTTCTTCTTTTTCAGCACCTTGTTTTTGGAATCAAGTCTTTCATTGCCTACCTGATTCCAGACATGCCCAAAGACTTATGTGACCGCATGAGGCGAGAGAAATACTTGGTCCAGGAAATGATGTACGAGGCTGAGCTGGAGCACTTGCAGAAGGAGCGGAAGAAGAACGGGAAGCAGTATCACCACGAATGGCCTTAGCTGACACCACGCTGCAACAAAACAAAAGCACTCTTTGGAAGTTGGGGAGTGCAGTTGCAGAACGAGGTCAGCATCTGACACGAGCGCGGGGGATTCACGGTGTACATATGTTCTTGATGGGCAGTCCAGCTGCAGGCTTTGGTGGGCACCTGGAAGTAGATGCTTCCAATGAATAACATGAATAGCCTTGGCTGCCTGTGCTGACTTGGTGGTGAGCAGCACGGACAGGACTGGCGCTGAAGAGCGTGCAGACAGCTCCGAAATCTGGACTCTCCTTGGTTAGAAAAGGCAAAGAATGTTCATGCTATTCATGAGGATACTATCAGCTTAGCGAAAATAAAATATTACCTGTAAACTTATACAGTAAGGGCATGACTAAAACCAACTCACGTGATATCCACTATTTCTACAGCTTCTGATTGCTCAGCTGCATCTGTAATGCCTCTGAACAAACGAGCAATTGTTGCCTTTGTGGCCATAACTTGATATAAAAGATCTTTCAGGCTTACTATTTTGTCAGGTTTGTCCTAGTCTCTTGTCGAGATTGTGGATGTGGTCCTACCCTACCAAGGGGGTATATGGCTGCTTAACATATACTATGCAGTTTCATATTTGCACATCGATTTCATTAARTTATCCTCCTCGTTGAAAACCAAAAAAAGCAATCCTAAACTGAGCGAGAAAAGAGCAGCACGGAGAGCACGCAGCTCGATTTGCAGATGATGTGGCTGCCCAAAAGGCTTTTCACTTTTATATGCACCAAGGCCACCTCCAGAGCCTGCCGGAGGGCGAGCCCCTGTCCGAGCGTGTTGCTCTCCTCTCTGGGCAGCAACTCCACAACTTTGCAGGGTAGAAATACTCGGGCACCGTGCAGCTGACTTCMTTCCGAGTAGATAAATACCTATTTAGAGGATGCAAGCTTCTGCAGAAACACCTAGCAGGTGAACACTGCCCCTTTGTGACTTGCTCGTTCAGGGACAGAGAAGCAGAGCACTTGATAGCGGCGCTCCTATTGTAATAGTCAATATTCCAGTGATGTGCACTTCTGCTATTGGGCTGCATAAGGCAAAGCATGGGAACTAGGTACATGCAGATATGTATAGGGGTTGTATGTAAATGCACACACGCACGATGGTTATTTTTAGATTTTTTATTGTTATTTTTATGCCTTCTTACAATTTTGAGAGGCTTTTTGGATAAAACTCACTAAGAGTAGAAATGAGGGGCTTTTTGGGTAATAATCACTAAGAGTAGAAATGCACATAAAGCATTGAATTTTTCTGTGTATATGGCTTAAGGCGGTGCTGCTTGTGGCTACAGGCACATTTGTGTGATGAAGTTGTTTATTAGTAACAKTTTGTAATGCGGGATAAGAAGCACTTAAGTTAAACAAGTGGGCAGGAATCACTTGCAGAGAAGAGAACAGGKGGACAAAGTTACACTCATTCTGCTTCTAATATACAATTTTAAATATTTGTTTTTATTTATATTAGATGAGAAAAAAAAAAACAAAGCAAAGATGCAACAAAGCACAGTAACTGTAAGAAATGCAAATGTTAGCCATCAGTTTTAGCAGTAAAAATGCAGGGAAGTCACTGGTGACAAATATGAAAAGACCTGAAGTTTTACTTAAGATATTGAGCCAAAAAAAGAGTATCCACTCCTATATCTTTGAAAAATCTTTTTTTTAATGTTACATAAAATTAATCTTAAGAGCACAGAACCCCTTGAAGTGGATGAATAAGATCTGTTGTGTCTTGGGGAAGCCTAAAATCAGACCCTCAGTTTTATTAGTCACCCTACCTTATTCAGGAGATGTCTTGGTTAAGGTGAGTTGCCTGTGACCAGGCGAGGCCAGGGTAGGAGCATCTCTAGTACGGCACAACAGAGGGAARAAACTGGAAGCCGGGTGTTGCCCATTAGCTCGGCGACAAGGGGCTGCTGGATCTGAGCTTCTCCCTTTTGGCAAGGGGTTTTTTYCCCCTTCCCATTACGTTTTGCATTTTGAATTTCTTAGGATTCGTCTTGAGAAATAATTCAAACGTTCCCTGCAGTGCTTTTGTAATCACGCTGTTTGATTTGATTTATTGCTTCACTGTTTGTGAGACAGAGTATCGAGCACTGTTTGACAGCTTAACTGTGTGTCAAAGGATCCATTTTTGTGCCATATAACGGTAGTACTTCAGTTCTTCATCAGGTCACAGGTGAGCTCTCTTTTTAGTGTTTTCTTTAGGATAGAAAAAAAAAAAAGGCCTTGGCTGGCCCAAGGTATAAAAATTTAGCATAAAGTTAGGCAAAAAATGAAAAATACTGATTAATTATTTTATATTTTCTTCTTTCTGCTGAGGATATTGGCATATGACAGTACCAAGTGAGCAAAATCCCATCGGGACCTTACCAATACCTATGGAAGGAARCCTTTTGTATTTGAGGATGCTTTTGGATTTAAATAGCTATGTATATTCTTAATGATTTTCCGCACATACCAGGCAAGTACGTAGGTCTGGCACTGTTCAGTTTATGCACTGGGAAAGCACAAGAAGTTTTGGGGAATTCCTGTGCGTGGCCTTTTGGTTCTGGAGGATAGCAGCACCGTCTAAAGGCTTTGCCCCTATCTAGCCTTTTGCTTAAGCTGAGAAACCCTTTTTTCTAGACTTCATTTCACGTGGTGTTTGCATTGGCTGCACGTTATCTTCCTAAAGTGTAAGGCACACACTGTCCTCAGGAATAATGTATTTTATGTATGGCGAATGAACTTTTCATATTCTAAGTATTGTCTTTACAAAAAAGAAAAAAAAAAGAAAAAAGAAAAACAAAGACTAGTATGAATAGATTGTGCATGCAGGCTGCATTTGTAAAATCTGACAAAGCTACCAACTGTGCAAAAATGCTTTAGATCGTTGCTGATCTAATGTGTGACAACTTTGCTCTATGCATGCGCCCTTAGAGAGACTGCATGAGCAAGTACGTATTTTTAAACACAAAAAGATTACTCCAAAATGTCTTAATTATTCCTAACCAAATTCAGCGTCTTGAGCCAGACAAAAAAGAAAACTCCACTTTAAAAACAGTAGAAAACCCATGCAGGTTATAGGCATCTCATTTCCAATTACTTTAATCTAAAGTTAATTAGATTTAATTTGCTCTCCTGAGTCCCCTTCTCTGTATGGGGAGGTGCACGAAGAGCTTGGGGGTCCCCATAGGGATCTGAGGGGGTTGCCTTGGGGTTGAGTGTTGGCATCCTCTCCTGCAGAGCTCCTAGTTGTGTGTCCTGCTGACACRTACAGCTCCAAAACCAGGCACACTGCGTCAGGGCAGCCCATCTCTTTCTTTCTTTCCTACCCCTTTTTGCCACTGAATTTATGGAGAAAATGGGGCTTAACACTGAAGTTGTTATCAGTGACCASGAGGCTACGGTTTCCATAATCACGATAGGCCATAGATGTTATTTCTTTAGTTATTTCTTTAAGATTTCTTTATTTCTTTAAGATGTCTTTATCAYGACAACATGGACACATTGCTTGTTACCATGCCCTTTTCCAACTTGTCTTACATTTTCTTCTGAGGATCATTTAGGCTCAGTTGGGCCCYGCTGAAGACTCAAAGAAAAATGTCCAGAAGGAGTTGGTAAGAGTAAGTTACCTAGAGGTTAATGGAAAAGTCCCTCATTTTTTTCTAAGTTTTTTTTCATAAGGAGTTTTGCAGAACAACAACAGCAAAAATCTTGGGAAATCTTGCCCTTGGAGGGCAGTTTGATGTAGGGAAGGGTGGGAAATTCAGTGAGGTTTTATTCTGAATGTGTCCCTAAGACCATCAATCTAATGTAAGTTCTACAAGTTTGGCACATTTGGCATTTCCTTGCTGTGACTTGTTCCACTCCAAGTTCCAGTTATTGCTGCTGCCAGAGATAATTTCTGGAGCTTTGGGATCCATTAATGTTTGCCTGTGAATGGTTATAGTGCACCGGGGAATTAATTAATCTTTTGAATTATACCACAGTTCATTTGGTGGTAATTAGTATATACTTATTAAGGAGCATTGTATCATTTCAGATTACCTGAAAATGATCATGATCCATAAAATGAAAAAAAAAAAAAAATCCTTCTTAGATAGTTAACTTTGACCTTCCATCACTTTCATGTAACGCTATTACAGACCAACTTTTTTACATTCACTGATTGTATAAATAAAACTTGTTTTATAGAAATAGCTGAATGGGAAGGCAATAAAGTTAATGGAAGATCAAACAATCACATTTTCTATTAAGTTTTTTATAGTAGAAAAGGGATAGAGACAAAAATAATGGTATTGGTGATCACTTAAAATATGGTAGTACTTCCAAAAACATTTAAACTTTTTTAATCATGAAAAAATACTCATGTTGCTCATTGGGAGGTGAAAGGTGAAATAAATAAACAAGCATCCTTTCATAAGATCAAATGATCTTCCCTACCATTATGCACATGCATTCTAGCRTCCTCCTAAAGACTCTGAGCCGTCCTAGGGCTGCCTTCCGTTTAACATTGGTTGGAGTTGACTTACAGTGAAGTTTTCTCTCCAACCACATTGGCTGTAGATTTGTATATTTGGGCCTCATTTGGGCACAGCACAAAGTTACCCCAAGAGCACAAAGTTCTCGTGACAGCACAAGAAGAGAGAAAGCACCTTGATATTCCRTATTCCACAGGAACATTTGCGATGTAGGGCTGGGATTTAGGCTGGAAATGCTAGTGGTATCTTCCCTCCTCACTGCACTGACACCTGATGTTGTGTTTTTTCCATTGGCTTCTCCCACCTTTTTGCCAGGACCTTGACAGTGTTTTACATTCTCTGTAGTTCGCGTTCTTATTGCTGGGAATCAGTGGTTAGGATGCTAACGGGTGAGCAATTGGCCTCAAACCCAAKGCAGTTTAAGGCTAGTGAGATTTTAAGCGCTAGGAACATGGTGAATTTTCTGTTAGAAACGAGAGGAAATTCAATCTCCTTTTTATTTTCTGTTTTATGTGTATGAGAGTTTTGTATTTAAAAAAAATCTACCAAGCTTTACTCTAATTTTTACCTAGATTAGTATCACTGAAATTTCAARTGTTTGAAATCTCATGTAAAATCTAACTAAATAACATGCTTCRGTCATTTTTACACTGATAGTCCTGGGTAACTTGCAATATCATCGTAAGACATTTCTTAAGGTGTGTATATATTTGAGATTTATGTAATATTTAAATACTACTTGGTTTCTAAGTAAAGAATTAGAAGAAAATTTGAACTATTTTTTCTATTCATGAATCCAAACTTTGTAAGTAATGTTTGAAACGAGATTACAATACTTACCACAAAATGTTTCAAATGAATTGACTTTTATGCACTACATGCTGGACGTTCTSTGGCCTGTCAGCTTTTGCTTTCCTTTGTGTTTTAAGGTTACTTTTACATCCCGAAATGTACCCCAAAATTAAATGAATTTGCTGAGGAAAATGTTGATCTGATTAACTAATGTAAGACACTTTTGGCATAAATTTGTCTTTGAGATGCTGTTTACTTTATCAAGGTTTACATGTACAAATGCAACTACTAATTGTATCATACACATTTGAATATTGCATTTTTCAGTAATAAACTTGGATATCTTTGAAGGAGAGTTTGAAGTTCATTATTCCAATAGTCAAAATTATATAAAAAAAAAGAGTTAAACACTGGGCTGGGAAACATAAGCTACTATTAACCCAGCTGCATGGGTAAGTAAATCTTCATAGTAACTTCAACCTAATTTAAAATGTTTACTAATCCTTTAGTGCCAAATTGCAATCACTATCTACTACTATTTATGCTCTGTGTTTAAGTGCTTAAGACTAAGAACATGTGTGTATAACCAAAGGGATGTTCCTTTTTATCTCCCAGCATCAAGCCTGGGGAAAAGTCCCATAAACTTGAATATACTTTAAGCAATCATCTAAAATCCAGGAGGGGTTTGTTTGTTTGCCTTGCAGCCACAATAGGAAGTAATTTAAGGGGTAAACCCTGTGTCGGACACTTGCCAAAGGTTTAATCCCTAAATGCTGCCTCAGCTGGTGTGTTCTTAAGGCACATACTCATTTTTCAAATTTTCAGTCACTAATGCTCTACTGCTTTCCATAATGACTAATAATTCCTTTAAGAGTTTGTGTGTTCCTAGTTTCTCCATCTTGTTTTTTCAGCTCAGTGGCCTGGCTAACTCGAAGCTCCGGGACCCTTGGGAACGTGCACAGCTAAATGCGGGGTGCTGGAAAAGGCTCCCCTGGCCTTGCATCCTCTGAGAAAAGCAGCAGGTGCCCGTTATAGCCAGGGGCTTCCTCTTGGATCCTGAGCTCTCCCAGGCTTCCGGATCTCTATTTTAATGGAAAACACTACAAAAGATGATGATAGCAAGGACTGGAGAGTCCTCTGAGCACTSGAGGATCTGTGTGCTTGCACTGTCCGCTTTTGCAGGGAGGGGAACCACCAGCTCCAGCCCTGGATGACGTTGGATAAAGCTCCACCAATGGACCTTGCTGAGTTTTCCTCTCTTCCGAGGTCTTTTGCAGCACTTTCCCTCTCTGGGCGGATCCTTGATTCAAGATGGAAAGTAAATGAGCGGATAACTCTAAAGCTGACATGAATATTTAATCAAAACAGTGATTTTTCTAGATGTAATTTTAATAGACATGGCTTCCTTAATGCTTGGTACAAGTTTTGTTACAAATGCACTACCAATTTACTATTTTGCTTTTTTACTTTCAGAATTATTTTACTATTACTCTACTGATTTAGTATTTTACTTTTATTATTTTACTTTTACGATTTTATTTATGCATGAGTAGGAGTATGTGGGAGTAAACTAAAACCCTGTGGTATATTTAACGTTTTACGTAGGATACTGAGACTGAATGGACAGCTTTAGCTGAAAACTAGCCAGAACTATAGGAGAGAAATTCTTCCAAAGGTTTGCACAAAGATATTCTGAGAGAATACAGGTCTAGCTGACCTGACTCACTGTCTTGCACGCTAAATAAGCAAATAGAAAGAATTCCTTCTGTGGCAAACGGTTTTGGAAGAATTTGAAAAAGATAGGTGAAAAAATATGGGAAGAAAAAATGGAAATTAGGCATTCCTCCAGCATGTGAAGCTCAAAAGATTCTCAAAGCAGTAAAAATACTGTGATGAGTAAGGAGCTCAAGTAAGAAATAGTTTATTTGGAGCACAGTTCCTATGAAACTGGTTGTTTCACAGTCAGATGTCTCTTAATCAGATATCCTCCCACTGTCAGTAGAGAGAGGGTAGTAGTCACCGTGTAGCTACACAGTTAGACATTGTTTTGAACCACCTTTGCTCTTGAACTGTTTTGAATTTTCTGGCATGATGGTTTGGCTTTGTTAGCACAGCCTAAGAGGTGATGTTTGTGGCCATCACATGTAACAGGTACAATGGTATCAGGGAGCCAGCCCCGTGGGGAGTGAGACGAACGAGTGACCAGATAACGGTGTTCAGAAGGTGGCAGACATCAACTGAGAGTGAGTCACGAAGGTAACGGCTGCCAGTTTGTTGGCAAACTGTCACCCCACAAGCAAGGCAGCATTATTTTACACCCTGTTATTTCTGCTCTCTGGTGGAGTATCTCGGGGCTGTTGCTGGAGAACATGAACGCAGAAGCGGGAAGCAGTTTCAAGGACCTGACATCTACACCTTAAAGGTGGTCACAGGTGAAATAAAAGTGAAGGTTCAGATCTTCAAAGCATCTTCAAAGCGGGGCTGAGTATCGACTTGGAGGTAAGAAAAGACCTATTGACTTTGATTTACACCTGGCTAGTTTCGGAGGAAATGTGTTTCACTGAAAAGGAGCATCTAGTGGAGTGGACACGTTAGTCTAAGGCTGGTGACATTATTGTGCCTAGTCTTGAGCCTTTTCCAAAATTCAGTAGTGCTTTCCTATGAGGTGGCCTCATCAAATTGGGTTAAGGGGAGGTCCTTTATTGTCTAGAGCTAGTAGAGGGATTTTGTGGCTCAGAAATGCCAGGTGTACAAACAAACATTGAACCGAAAGAATCTCTAAAGCTCTAAATCTCTAAATCTTTTCAAGCTGAAAGGATGTCTGTCCAAGACTGTCCTGAATTCAAAGTAAAGTCTGTTACTCTCTCCTATAGCTTAAAATAAGTCATGGTGAAGAGTGTTTCTCATTCCCACAGAAGGGAGCGTGAATGAGTCTTTAGAAGACCAGCCTGGTCTGCACAGGCCGAGTAGCTGCCCCGGCCTCTCTTCTTGCCCGTGCTGTAAACCGTGGAGAGCTCCCTCCACCACCTCATCTTAGCGAGAGGCCCTAGAAAGTCACCTGAGGTCCTGCTCTGTCGGGAGTTCACCGTTGCACATGTACCTTAAATAACTAACTACTGAGCAGAGAGCGTGGCATAGGAATATAGCAGCTAATTCCCAAAAGGAATTCCCGTGATTCCCGTGATACACATGAAACGTTTCTTCTGAAATAGTAGCGCTTCCAAACCCCCGTTGTCTTACAATTTCCCAGTTCTGTCGTGAAAGTCATAAATAAAAATCTGCCTTTATTGCTATAGAGAGCAATTGGCCTCCGTTAGTCACCTACAAGCTGGAAAAAAATGCAATAAAAAGAGCTCTTTGTTTCTGAAGCTGGAGAAGAAGAGTTGATTAAGCGTCCTTGTYCCTCAGCTTCTACAGGCGAGATTCCATGCCCATGTTGGTGTAGGATTTTTCCTCGGGATTGTAGCCAGGTAGCTGCCTTTGGGTTTCGTTCTCAGCTTTGCTCTGGAAGGAGTCTTCTCTTTTAGCTTTCTTTGCAGTGACTTGAGGCATGTTGTTGTCCAAGTCCACCTGGGAAAAGGGCASGAGAATTTGGAGAGTGAGTTTTCCCTGCATCTTAATACTTGTGRAAAGGTTACATTTGCCGTGTTGCATTTTGAACTTTTGGCATCCCTTCCCATAGAAATCTGAAGAAGTGACTGCTTTTCATGTATGGCTTTGATTAACGAGGAGCCCCTTTCTTTTCTCTAGAGAAGTCCCAAGGGAAGTGTCTGCTGGAGCCCTCAGAGGCAGAGGAGGCCGCTGGAGCGAGTGCTCCCAACCTCACCGTGGTGTCACCACCCAAGTCCCCGCCAGGCGCGCGCAGCCGCCCGCGCTGGACGCGATCGCTGAGCTGCAGGTCACCCATCCTGCTGAGGTGCAGGAGGCAGCTTTCAGCGGTGGTTTCGGGAGGAGCACCCTGCCCGCGGGAGCCACTCACGCGCCTGCCGCTGCGCCGCGCGCCACGCCAGCGCCACAGCCTCCTCAGCAGCACCGGCGGCACGTCCTCTGCTCTCTGGGGGCCTGGTGGGCACACGGGAGGAAGAGGAGCACGTGTCAGGGCTCGCGGGGAGCCCTCGTGCCGCACGGTGTCCCCGCGTGGCTGAGCCCACCTGTGACGATGCTGAGGAGCAGCCCGGTGACCACGCAGCCCAGGCAGCCCACGGCGCTGAAGTACAGGTAGGACAGCGAGTACCAGGTGTCGGCCAGCAGCGGCCTGCGGGCAGAGGGGGCAGCAGGAAAGGGCGCAGCAGGAGAGGGCGCAGGGGCGGCCGCCGTCGCCGCCAGGGCCGCCCGCGGGCACCTACCTGTGCGGAGCGGCGGTGGGAGCGGCGGTGCCGAGCGCGCCGGTGCCGTTGGCGAGCGCGCAGCCCGCCGTGGAGAGCGGCAGCGGCAGCGCCTTGGCCGCGGGCGCCGGGTACACGAAGGAGCCGATGGCGACCCAGAAGGCGAGCGCGATGCCGGCCAGGAGGCCGCCGGTGGCGCCCTGCGAGCGCGGGAGGCAATGAGAGGGGAGCCCGGGCAGGGCAGCCCCCGCGCGTTTCCCTGCTTACCTTCCAGTTGGCACAAGGGAAGAGGATGCCCAGGGTGAAGAGCCCCAGCATGGGCCCCCCGCACATGCCGTGGATGGTGAGGGAGGCCTGCGGGGGCACAGCGTTCCATTCATGGATTTACTGCTGGTATTTTTAGGGCTGCACGGAAAAGAGGGAAGGGGCCGGGTACCTGGACGATGCCTCCGAGCAGCGAKGCGGCCGCCGCCATGGCCGTGCACAGCGCCCCGAAGAGCACACCTGCAGAGAGCGCGTGGCGCTCGGCGTCGAGGTGCCCAAAGCAGAGCCCCGGGGGCTCAGCAGCGCCCCCGGGAGAAAACCACCCCCTGGAAGCAAGGCCGTTCTGCCCACTCTGCGGTACCTACATAAGCCTTTGCTGACCCACGTGCTCCTCTTCTCCGACAGGTCCGGGAAAATTTTCTTGACAAAGTCTTCAAAGGTAACGGTCGCCAGAGCGTTAATGCTTGCAGCCACTGTGCTATGAGGGGGCAAAACGAGGATATAAATGTGAAGCAAAATGACCTTGGAAAGTAATTTCCCTACAAAGACATACCATTTCTCCTTCAACACGTTATAGTGCCCAAAATACCTGCTCTGTTTTCCTGCAGAATTTAGGAATTACTTAAGGAAAGTATCAAAATGCTCTCTTTTTCTTCTTTCCCCCTATAAGGTATTTTTGGGTTCACACACCTTAATGTTCCACTGAATGCACAGGCAACAAACAGTCCCGGGACTCCCGACATCGAGGCAAAAATGTCCATGACAAAATAGGGCATTAGCTGGGGGAAGAGAAACGCAGGGGGTTAGCGGCGGTTTCTCAGGGTCGAGGGGGAAGAGCAGCTGCGCCCGAGCGGGCTGCAAAACACCCGTTTCGTTGCAACCAAGAGATTCAGGTTTTGAGAGAAAGGCTGGTCATTTTGCAAAGCTCCTCTGTCGCATCACTTCTAGCCTAGCACCAGAATAGACATGTCCTGGTCCTGACCCAGCACCTGCAGAGCTGAAAGGACACGCAGTTCCCCACCACATTTGTGCAATGTTTCTGTGAGCTCTGTCTGGGCCCAGAACAGCGCTTGATCAGTCGTCTCCGTCTGTACCTGATCRGGTGCTGAAATGAAATTGGCAGTCCAAGGGTCGCAGTCCCTGTAGTGCGAGAACATCACCAAGCCAGAAAATACTGCACACACCAGCACGATCCAAAGTCCCACCAAGTTGAGGTAAAGCGCCCTGGAAAGAAAGAGAGAAATCCCTTGTAGTACAAGATATATATATAAAGTGGTTGCTTTGAGCTTTCTTGAGGGAGGCTTTACCAAGAATGGGCACGTAACKTCTTAAATGTTTCCCCAGCGTAAGAAACTGTGCTTTTAAGAACAGTAAGAAACTGCAAATCTTCCTAGCGGATCCAGTGAGGTCCTTATTTTTATTTAACACAGCCGACAGGCTGTTAGGATATTTCTGCGTCGGTATTTCTGAGGATGAGAACAGCTTAAAGGTGGGAGTGACTTACAGTTTGGCGTGCTTTTCTGATTTGCAGGAAATGCATCTCTGTATCGTGGACTGATTGACGCCGTAGATCCCGAGCCACGTGAAGGTTCCCCCGATGACGATGGTCCAAAAGGTGTGCCGTCTTAAAGGGTCCACGTTGAAGCTGGCAGGGCCACAGGAGAGCAGCTGGATTGCTTGTTTAAATGCACGTTTATTCGCCAAGAGCTGTTGATCTTTCAGAAATATCTAGTCTATGATATCATTATGTTGTAAGTAGCACTAGTGCATTGGTAACACGGATAAAACACCTGGGGGAGGCGGGATCATGGGGAGGAATCTTCTGGGCTTTCTTTTCTACTGCATCATATTGTTAGCAGATCAAGATCGATATATATCACTCAATTCCAATCACAGGACTAAGTAAGTGAGATTGTACTTACAATGCTCACATTTCAGTTGTCTTTCATATCACATGTGCTAGCTATCATATCCATGAGCCTGACCTCAGCATGGGAGAAAGCCACAAATCGGAACCTACAAATCATATCCGTGCTCCTAGTCATGTGCCCGTTATATATTATTTCTGTTGCAAGAAATGGCTTCATCTGCAGAGTGGCAGTGTAACAGCCAGCCAGGACAGTGTGTTATCCCAGTGCATGGGAGCACTGCCAGCAGCTGGAGTGAGGGGATTTAGTATAAATTGTCAGTCTTAGAGATGCAGAATGAAATGTGTGAACTAYGGGAAGGAATAATTGCCCTATGTCACGAGGCAAAGAAAAATATGCAAAGCTTCCTTTTCAGCTCAGTTGAGCTTTGATTCCTTAAAATAGGGTGATAGAAAGAGGGAGCAAAGTTCTCAAAGGTCTACTAGGTTGCTCAGATTTGRGGGAAAAAATAAGGAGCAGATTTCTGAATTAAAGTTGTTCATTCATAATATATAACATAGGCCCGAGTATTTTGGGTATGGTGAGATGAAATGCTTTAGAAATAATTTAAAGAATCCCCAGGATGAGTTATTTCTCACTCGAATATGTTGAGGCGGGCGCCCTCGGCCGCGCGTTGCCAGATGGCGCTGGGGCCGCTGTTGAGGATGGACCCGCGGATGAGAACGGTCGCGAAGCCGGCCACCATGACCATCATTTGGAAGGCGTCCGTCCAGACCACAGCTTTCAGTCCTCCCTGGGACAAGCAGAAACTGCGTGTTCTCATCGTCCTTTCCGTCGGGAAGYTGCTGCAGTGCCATGAAAGGCAAAAGTGCACCTGGCTCTCTGATGAGCAGCTAGACAGGCCTTTCCTTGAAAAGTTTCTTCTTATTCTCCCATAAAGGTCATATTTTTCAGCTYGGGAGATGAGACTAGTGATTTACACCATCATATAGGGATATTTGACCTCCAATCAAATGCTTTTTTTACCCCCCTTCATTAAAACATTTGAAGAAAGTGCTGTGATGTGTGACAGAAATTTTGAGCATAGACCTTTGCCTGTGTCTGTACTTYCAACAACATTCAGTACATGTTCTTAAGAGCTCAGGGTCCACAGCAAGTCTTAAGGACACAGGAAAAATAGTTCCAGAAAATCTGCAATTCAGCTTTCTTCCTTAGCTCCTTTCCTATCTGATGAAACCTGTGCTGGAGCAGCATAAATATGTTTTCAAGGAGGACCCAKTCAAATAGGAAACCCCATCATTTAAATAAATTAGAAATAATAATATAGCAAAATCAGCCTAGTTAGTCTGTTTGCTCTCTGATGTGACTGCGGGCTTCCCCCACACCTCCACTGGGAGGTGAAGGACTGATGTGCATGTCCTGCCCTTTGCCTCTTCCCCTGCTCTGATTAATTTATTATTTATCCAAAGTCATAAACAAGACAGGCACTCATGTGTTCCAGTTAGTGCTTCTGTTGGCATACCTCTGGCCAGGTTGGAAATATGGACTAAAACGCTTGAAATTCTGATTTTCAAAATGTGCTATTGGASCTGGCACCTACAGGGGAGTCTTTTTGTCTATCGCTCAGTGACCTCCCCAGCTCTTTATTGGTGTCAAGAAGGTCTTGCGTCGTTTGGACACGGTGGGAGATCTTCCTGGAAGCCCCCTTAGGTCTGTTCTTGGTCTGGAGTGACACCAGACATGTCACTCACTTCAGTCTTCCCACCTGTAACTTGCAAAACGTTTCCCCCTGCCAAATGGACTTATCTGTTTATTTTAGGATCTGAAGGAAACTCATCCCTGGAGTGAATGCCGTGGAATTCCAAACCTCAGTCCTTCAGACCACATCTAGCAGCCTGGCTTCTCATGCAGCCTTTTGGAGGCGAGGGGTCTGTGTTTGGCCATTCGCTTACGCCTGTTACGTACCAATGTGCAATAGAAAGTGCAGACAACTCCTGTGGCAGCTACAGAGCCCCAGAGATCAAATCCAGTGACTGTGAAACCCAAGAAAAACAAATGGTTAGCAGAGGGATTGTAAGAGGAAAGCCACCTGTTTACCCTTAGTATGATGGAAGTAATTTTCACTTGTGATTTTTTGTGACTAAGAGGAGTTCTGCAGGTTGTTTTGAGCTACCAGGTGTTGTTTTATATTGCAAACTGGGCTTAGCTACCTTTTAGGGGAGGAAAGTTGTTCATAAGCAAAATAATTATACAAAGAGAAACCTCATTCTAACGGGAYGTCCTTTTATGAGCAATGCTTTCTCTGTTCCATGTCCGGGATTCGATTCTGCTGAAAGATTTTGTGCTCTGCCAATTCTCTCAGAGGATCCAAGTGCTCAGGAGATTTCCATCTAGTCCTAGGGGAAGAAGCTGAGTTCTGCTGTCTGGGACGAGCARCAGCTTAACCTTGGGACTGTGCTGACTGGGCACTGCAGCAGTTTTGCATGCTCATTTTGCTTCGGCGAGTTTCTGGGCAAGGTAGGAATTGCAACTTTCAGTTTGGCTCGTATTGCAGCCTCTCTGCTGAGGCTTCACTTGTAAGGACAGTAGGATCTGTAGCAGTTCTCTTGTTAGCCACAGCTTATTTCTGTTAATCATGCTAAGGGCCCTCCGAGCAGCTGCCGTGCTAAAGGCAGCCTGGCTCCAGAGGAAGGGTGTTTGGGTGATGAGAAGAGCCCCCACATCACTTCCCGGGCAGTTTTAGGGAAAGCAGTTCCTTTGGGAGCTTACGCTGATTCCTTGTGTTGTATGCTTGTCAAGGGATTCATCCCAGTTATTGCAGCAGATGCTGCCAACAGAGCAATGCCAGGGGAACAGGAATGAGGTATCGGGTCGGAAATGCCATGGGATCTTCAAATGTAACCCTTGCCYCCAGGACCTTGGCCTTCACCTTGCCTGAAAGGTGCCATCGCAGCCAGAACAAAACTCCCCAGCGCCTATAGGGTGCCTATAGGTATCAGCCTGTAAAGGAAACTGCTCCGTGATGCAGTCGAGACGCGGAGCATCCCCTGCTCTTTGGCATTTCTGTGGGCGGCCGGGCGGTCGCCGATTCTTTCAGCCACAGAAATCTCCTGCCTGTCCCGTGAGCGGTAAGAGCGCCGGTGGCGCAAGGCAGGCAGGGTGGGAAGGAGCCAAAGTGCAGGGCGCGCTCCTGGGTCACTGCCTGTGCCACGAACTTTGTCAGGAGGTTGGGAAACTGCTCCCTGCCAACCCTTGGGACTGTTACTGAGTACAGGAGAGCGAACACGAGGGAGGAACCGGGGCTGTCAGAAAGGCGCAAGTGTTTGGTGAARGCAAAGCCCTCCCTACGGGTCTGCTGAGGAGCTCTGTGGCTTCTGTCTTTCTGTCTTTCTGTCTATCTTTCTTCTGCCTGCTGATGTACTTTCTTCTGCTTTGGTTATTCTGCTTGTCTTTTGATGGGGTTATTGGGGTAGCCATGTAGTCTGGCCTGGAAACTCACCTTGGTTGAGAGCCAGTGATGGAGCATAAACCACTATTCCAGTGTAAAGGATCTGCAGGATAAAAGAGTTCATGGATCAGRCTGTACCATATAGGGCTTTCTTCCTCCAGTCTTCACAAACTCAAACCCCTTCATTTAATTCCTTATGGATGGAGCTAAGCCTGTCTGTCTGTGTCCCCTTCCACCCGCTGCTAAGATGATTGTGTGTCTAGACTGGATGGCTCAGGAAGAGGGGCACTCAATAAGATACCAACAGTGTTGCAGAAGCAGYTCACTGGGTCTTGGAAATTAATCTCCCCTGGTTCCTCCTAATCCTTCTCAGAGCAGTTAACTCAGGGCCTTTTGTGCGTGTGTTGTGATGGAACTGAGCAGGGGAAACAAATGTTGAACTTCTGGATCTTTTGCRAAAGCTTTTAGAGGTAATTAGGTGGAATTACTGTGGAGAGACGGACAAATGTCCCAGCTCCTCAATTTTCCATCAAACACAGACAAAATAATCTTCTGAGAAACTCGGGCACTTCCAAATCAAAAGAAAAAACACTATTTGATGTCTATCTCAGTGSCTCAGCCAGTGCTTTGGGGCGAGCAAATCCAATCTGTGCTCGCTGGGCTTTGCCACCCGCAAGCCAGGAGTCTCCTTTGTGTGCACAGAGGTGGGGACTGGCTAGTGGCCTCTGGGACGATGCCAGGCTGTCTATAAATGCAGTCTATAAATGCCAAGCAGTGGTTTTGTGTCCCCTCAAGTGTCAGGCTTCTTAACATTCACAGTCCAACTGACGGAACAAAAGGGGACASTAAAAAAAGATAAAAATGGCTCTTGGGTGGAGGGACTTGGGTCTGGGATGGCTGCTTTGAAGTAAAGGTCAGGTGGAACCGTCACGAAGAGATTGGCAACGTCTTCTTACCGTCTGCAGGATGTAGATGAGCGTCGCAGCGAAACGGACCACTTTGTTAAATCTTAACTCCAAATACTAGGAGAAAGAGGAGATGCAGCAAGTTGCACAAGGAGCGGCCGTAGCTGAGCTCTTAACCTGCTCTTTGCCAGCGTGGCTGCCTGCTTCCCCGCTGCAATTACGGGCAGCTGACATTGCTGCTGGGACTAATAAACCCGTGCACACGATTAGTCTTCCTTGTCGAAACAGTTACATTTGAGAAATCAGCAGAGGGTGCTTGAAATCATGTGTTGGGCTGCTGCATGCCGGGGTCGTATCGGGAATAAGCGCCCTGGGGTGACAGGGAAAAGGAACCTGTGCTTCAGGGTGAGGTTTAATCGGGCTCTGCCAAGCAGAGGCCTGAGCTCATCTCCTAGAGCAATGGGATGGTTGGACTTCTGTCTTAAAGTCTTTCTTTAATCCTTTCACTGTAAAACAGATTGAAACAGTTGAGACAGGAGCCTCTAGCAGGTACTTTAACTGTTTTCCAGTTGTAACATATTTTGTCCTCTGTAAACTCTCTCATTTCTCTTCTACGTGTCCCCAGCAGTCCCTCTGATGTCCTTGCAACTTAGGCAATACAAATAATCAGCTTGCTTCTAAAAAATAATATATGCATTGATGATACACTTGTTCTGTAAATTATTGCAGAAGAAGTCTTCTGCCACAGATTTTTCTCTAGAAATAGCAAAATACTTGTTAAACTGACTTTTACCCTATAATAATGCATTTTTAACTTACCTCATAAGTACTTGTAATGCCAGATCTGTAGAATACCGGTACAAAAAGTTCAGCAGTGAAGAAGATGACAAGCGTATAGGAGAGGAAGAAGAGGATGAAGGATGCCCCGTAGCGATAAACCTCCGACGGCGTCCCCAGAACGGTGACCGCCGACATGAAGCTGGAGGTGAGAGAGAAGGCTATGGGGCCGCACGTCATCTGCCTGCCGCCCACCAGAAAGTCCTTTGAACTCTTCTTTTTCCTCTCTTTAATTGCAAAAAAGACTCCGATGCTGGCGGAGACTAAAAACAGTCCTGCAAAAACTACATAGTCCCAAGGTCCAAATTTTTTGATTTCTGGAGCCACAAAGTTGGCCATGGCTCCCGATGGAGAACTCGCCGCTGGAAGGGCTCCGAGTTCCTCTGTCGGTTGCTCTGAACTGGTTAATTCTCTGACAGCAAAGGTGGGTTTGTAGCTTATCAGTGACAAACAGAAAAGGAAATCCAGCTCACTTCTAGGAGGAAAAAGCAGAATTGCTTAGCCCAAGGTGGGAAGGTGCTGCATGCCCTTAGACCCTCGCGCTGCTGATAATTCTCCCAGGCTGTCTGGGCTGGGGAACTTATCCAAGGAATCTATAGTATGCTTCCTTTTATCTGTGAGCTTTTAATTTCAAGTTAAAGATTACCTTGGCACATTGACTTGGTCTGCCTCATCACTAACCTCTCAGCATTTGTGAATAATAAAAGGGGAGTAATATAAGAAAAGGCGTGGGGGAGAGAGGGGGAAAATGAAGGACAAGTTGGCATGCAGAGCGACGACCTTTGCTGGTGGGTCTGTGTTTTTGAAGGAGCAGTTCTTCCCCGTGGTTAAAATCTAAGCTTGAGGAGCAGCTATGGAGTTCAAGAGTTGTCCTTTGCCATGAMATGCACTCTGTGATGGACTCTCTGCAAGTTCAGGCTGCTGCAAAGAGCTGTAGCCTTTAATGGCTCGAGGTAAGTTCAGTGTTTCCCCGTCGCTAGTCCAGCCTGGGCAACCAAGAGTGTTACCTCCAGGTGAGCTACAGTGTAGACTGGGCAATGCTGGGGCAGGCCAGCGACGTCCATGCAGCAACTGGTGTCTCCCTGTGTGGCCACTGCAGCTCTGTGCATGTAGAGCTCCGTGTTGTGGAGCCTTGAAGAGCTGGAGAATTCAGTCAGGTCAGCAGAAGAGGACCGAGGAGCAGCAGAGAAGGCAAGAGCGACGTTCTCCTTCGTTCATCGTTGGGATGACCTGTAGAACTCAAATAATCCAGTTCTTCTTGGATTTGTTGCTTGGTTTTGAGTAAGGAGGATTCATGCTGCATCAGGCTGCACCGTGAGGATGCCCTTGCAAAAGAAGCGGTCGCCAGCCCGTGGCACCCTAGGATAAGCTTTTATGGTACAAGGGTCATAAAAATTGATCCATTTCAGAGGTGACCACGAGCTTTTTCAGTGTGTGATACGCCCAGCAAGCAAGTGGGTTTCCAGAGCTCTCATGCGGAGAAAGAGAAATACGCATTTTGGAGCATCTTTTCAGTGGTGATTTGCTCTCCTTTCACCCCACCACTGTCTCCAGCAAACTACACAATAAGGGAAGTTAATGCAGGAGAGACCAAGGAACAAATCTGCATCCTCCCAGCTGCTGCTCAGCAAATCCGCACCTAACTGCCTCGCAGTGATTTATTTATCCAAGTACGGCGTGTTACTGGTTAATATTTGGCTTTTGTGCAGAACAAGYGTCTTAACTCTCTGCCCACTTCTGAAAAATCACTAACTTCCACTTTCCAAGAACCCTGCTCCACTGCAGGGATGGGCTTTCTCCTATATTATTTTTGTTTGTTTGCTTGTTTGTTTTCTCCATTCCATTAAGAAAGTGGATGTTTCCTGCAGGTCTGAGGTTTTAATTCGTATTTACTGAGCCTGATTAATGCATGTCTGTGGCACTGGTTAATTCTGTGCTATTACCTGGGGAGCGTGCGAGGCCAGACACCCGCCCTGGCAGGACGGTGCTCATTTAACCCTGCACAAATGTACGTTTTTCAGCAGAGAAATGGTGTCCAGAGCGGGAAACTCATAACTTGGGGAATTGCTGGCAACGGGCAAAGGGAAGAACTGCCCAAGGTTTAGATTTTACCATTGCATTTTAGGCCAGTAGCATCCTTTACTCTAGGTTAAGGCAAGCGCTTCACAGGTTATAGGTTGTAAATGAGAATATCTGGGTCTGTGTGGAGTTTTATACTGTCTGGAGTAGTCCATACATATTAACTGCTTTTGCCCATGGGGAGATTTTGTTTTCCAATGTGCTTTAATTAAATACTTTGGATTTTTTCGGGGCGGGGAGGAAAGAGGGGTGTGGTTGTTCAAATTTAACAGTCTTGTGGAATAAATAGCATCACGTAGGATGGGCATTTTAATGACTTTTAAAGCTGTATCCACTGCTGGAGRCTGCAATGAGGTTCCTGGGAAAATAGGTGGTGTGTGAAGCTGAGCAATGAGCTTATTAATTCATAGCCCCAACACAGTTTTTTTAAAATATTTTTCCAAATTTTATATATATATATATATATATTTATAAATAAATATAAAACAATCAACAGTGAGGCCAGTCTGCTCTCTGCTACTCTCCACAATCAGAAGGGTGAAGAGGAAGAGGAGGACTCAGAGAGAAAGGCACAGCCTTCCAGTCACATTATAGTGCAGTAAATAGCAACAGGCACTGCCTAAGGGTCTATGAGAGCCTCAGGTTGCTCTTAACGAGATAACAGAAATTATATTATTATTTTAATCTTTACCAAGCAAAAAGTTAKGTGGAAAAAAAGCAGCTGTTTTAGGTTGCACATAAATCTGCATTCAAGCTGATGCACATGCACTAATTGCTAAGCCAAAGTGTAGATTAGTAGTGTGATTTCTTGGCGCTGCTGTGAGTCTGGGGTAAGATTCTTGTTTCTGAAGCAGCATTTCCTTTTTTTATATATACAGTCCTTGGTAGCTGCAATTTTGAACCAAGCACCAAGGCTCTCCCGTGCTTATTGCCCTGTTCTGGAAGGAACAGGCCTTCCAATAAAATACTTATTTATTTGAGATACTTCCCCAAACAGTGTTCCTGGAAAACTAAGAAAGAAGACAAGTCCTAAAGGCTTTGTCAGTCAATTTGCCTTAAATTTGCTTTTAATCTGAGGGCTTCTTTTGGTATAAATACTAGTTTCCAGCAGTCATTTCTGTCTGACCATTGTTCCGAGAGTATTATCATTGGCATCAGCCGAAATAAACCTGTTGGATAGAAGTTTTAAGTTCCTAAGTCTTGTAAATGCTTTAACTTCTACACGTGTTTTGATGCTTAAGTTTGTCATTTGATTCTGAGAGCTGTCACTTATTATAATCATAAGAGTAATTTTGAAGGCAATATYAAGTGTTACTTGAAGATGAATATTAGCTTGTTAGAGCAGCTCTGGACGTCTAGATATGGACAAAGCAAATATTCCTGATGTCCAAAATTACTGAAATATTTGAAAGCTGAAATTTTTGAATACTGAAATATTTGAGAAGTATTTTTTCCATCCTGCTAATACAGCTMATGTGAAATTTGTGCACAGACCGTCCTGCTGTGTAGTAGACAAGGGCTTCAATGTCAGGAGCTTGCGGAGACAAGCGGACTTTGTCCACGGCGAAGAAGCTGCTCTTTAATGATTATTCCTTCCCGGGAAGGGCGCAGTGCCCAAGGGCAGAGTGTTCCACAGGCAGCTCGGCAGGGAGGGTTTGATACATGTATTTTAGCTGCTCCATGAGGGAGCTTCAATAAGCATCTCTGCTYGGTCCGTTGCTCCACATGGTCCAGGCRCATTGACCAAGTGGACCAATAGACYAAATACCTGCACAGAGCCAAGATTTATCACATTAAAGGGAGAAGGGAAAAGCAAAAAGTCACCCAGGAACCRAGGAGTCTAACACCAAACACTAACAGCCACTTTGCTTGTGTTGGGAGCTTGAGGCGCAGCCTTTGGCCCGGCATTGGGTGGCAATAAAAGGTACTCATGCACTGGCAGATGTCCCAAATGCCCTATGGCATGTGGCTTTATCGTGTCGTAGAAAAGATAACCAGATGCATAAATCTTGTTTATGAGATCTCATGTAGGAGATAAAACTCTTGCATGTGTATGGTGTGCTGCTTCGTTCTAAGATAATGTCAGTGTTTCCTTGTTCTCCCCCTTCTGCTTTATGCCTCTCTGTGCAGGCGTGTGTGTGTATTTTTCCTTGGAAAATTCCTCCCTGGGAACTCGTGCTGAACAATTTGGGAATACCTCTGAAGTTTGGATAGGGAAAAGGAAAATAGCAGTAGTATGTGGTCCAGGAACGGGTCTAAATTAGACACTGAAATTAAAGACAGTGGAAGGAAACATTAGGTTCAGTGATAAATCCAGCCCCTTTGGACCACCAGGGCAGTCTGACATAATCTTAAATAGAAAACACTGAAACCAAAACCCCAGAGCAAGCTTTGACAACAGCTTCTCCATTATTTGGCGTAAATCCAGGTAGGAATGCATCACATAGCAAATTTGGTAACTTCCCACAACATCAAACAGAAGCAATAAAAGTTTTACTGGTGTGACAACAGTTTCAATAGGAGTTCTTCTTGGCAAAGGAACCTGTCCAAGGCTTGTCAAGGCTTTAGCTGGAGTTATTTGAATTCAAATAGTTAATGAACAGAAGCCAAAAATTGTTTTGTGTTTGGTAAGCTGTAGTTAGAAGTTTACGAACCGGATATGGGAAGGTGTCCTACTTTTAAAGTCATTCCTAAACATTCTGTAAGGTAAAAGATGTTTCTGATGCTCAGTGAAAGGTTGTTTATTATTATTATTATTATTATTATTATTATTATTATTATTATTATTATTATTATTATTATTATTAATTAATGTTGTGGAAGAGGAGCAAGGTTTGCTGGTCCACATCTTCATCCTCTCTGCCGTACTGAAGAAAATGGTCCTTCCCTAGCTTGTCATGTAGGGAATCAGCTAGCTGAACTTGAACCAATATGTTCGTTCAGATGTATCTTTGTCATGCTCAGCTTAAAAGTATTGCATCTGCCATTTATTAATCTYGAGCATTTTCATAAACAGTGCACAGGGGAAATCTAAGAAGAGCCTGTAGCAGAGAGCGAAGGAACAGCAGCAGGTCCTGAGTGAGAAGATGTCTCCGAGGGTCTCCGAAYTCGGTAGAAATCCACCCTGTGAAAATAGTTACAGACATGGATGAGTCCAAAGTCACTTATCAAGGTAAGGTCCTTCAAGAAGCTCCTAATTCAGTCTGCTCAACAGACATGTCCCACGTTGTCGTGGCAGGCCACTGATGTATCTGTGACCA